CAATAGTTTCAAACTCAGGTGGGCAATTTCAGATTCCATCTAACTTGCCTTAAGATTCTGCAAAGCTTTAGGCTCGGTGTCATCGATTGGTGAGGCTTCAGAGTTTTCTTGTGTACCTTGAAAGAACTCTCTCCTAACAGGTGTGGAGAAAATGAGAGCAGTAATGCCTCAGAAGTCATATTGCCAAGCTTAATGTTAAATGCAAACTAGTGGATTGTTCTCATTAATTAATTAGAGCCAAAATTGCCTTGGTCACGAGTAGTATTCCTCACACTTCTCAATATGACTCTGCTTGAGGCAGGAGTGTTTGATTATCCTGTGAACTGCAAGTTCTTAGCAAATGGTACCAAACTAAACTTTTGGGAAACTATCCTGTTACAGCTACAAATTTGCCATAGTACAGTGAAAAAGTGTTCCCAACTCAAAAGAGGTGAAATGGGTTGAGCAGTGTGTTTGAAGTTGCTTGTAACATTGCTGTATGATGACTTGAAGACCTTTTCTGCCCAGTTATAATTCCACAACTTTACAATTGCAATAACTTTCATAATATATTTTTACTCAGTGCTTGCAGACAATGAGAAAAGCTGTGGCTAAGCATCCCTGAAGCAATAATTACTGGTTTTCCATATGTTGGGTGGTTTTTCTTTTCACTCGCCTATCTCATCACTGGAAATGAGGATTTGGAGAGAGAGGAAGAGGTTAGTTAACATACACATCCATCTTGGGGGCCATTCAAGTGAATTCATGGCAATGGGAGGAGAGAGAACAGGCTAGCTTCATCTAATTAGAGAGACAGATTGATTCAAAATGTGTAAGACTCCTCAAAATCAAAGAACCTTCAAGTAGTGGAAAACCTGCTGTACTTTAAAACGTTTGATTGAAAATTAGACACTAATGAAAAAGAGCTTCTACCTTCTGAATACCCTCAGCTTGTGCATGAAAGTAAAATGTAAACAGAGAAATTTCTTGGAAATACTTTACACCTTTAATATGCTTTGACGGTTAAGCCATCTTCAGAACTGAAGATTTTAAAAGCTCTCATTCTCAGTGTTAGTGGTGCACATTTGTAGGTGTGTGCTGTGTGTTTTGTTCCAGCAGAAGAAAAGGCCTGTGTGCTGTGAACCTCTGCAATACCTTGTGAGTTCAGATATTAGTACACCTTTAAAGCAAACAGTAAAGAAACCAATGATTTCCAGGCCTACCACTTTTCCAGTGGATAGTAAGGACTGACCTGTGGATTGGACATGAGATGAAGTGAGGGTCTGTTGGCTGGTTGGGCTTTTTAGGAAAGGTAGTTGGCAGGTGCTGTCTTACTGCCTCACAGGCAGTTCACCCAACCCCTTGGTTCAGTCAAAAAAAGGCAGCTCACTGGTACAAAACAAATTGTGCTGGTGGGTTACTGAAAGGGTGCTCAAACATTTAAGAGCTCTCTTGCCAGGAGCAGTGTCAGATGGTTAAGAGATACCTGCAAGTATGAATTGCCTGGTTGAGGAGCAGCAATCATTACCTGGGAAGACTTTCTGAATTCAGTGGTGTGTGGGACCCTGAGACAAGGTCAGTCTGCCAGGCTGGTGTGAAATACAGTCTGCACTCAGAAATTGAGTGAAATTTAGGGCTGGGATTACTGTGCAGTAGAGAGAGGCACAAATTACTGTTTTCATCTTCCCCCTTTGGCCTAATATGAGCTTTTATACAGTGCTGACTCAGCGTTTTATTTCAACAATTTACAATGAGGAAAATTTTTTCGTAATTAAACCCATGGAATGTAGGGCTGCTGGTCAGAAACTTGAGATGTGAAGCAATTTGAATTCAAATGTTTATTGTGGCTGTAAACAATTGATGTGTCATTGAACAATCAGTTTGAGGTTCCTGTCATGGAGCATTCATGGCCATCACTGAAACAGCATATTTGGTTGTGCTTAATAGATTTTGGAAAGAGGATTATAGGATTAGAAACTCAGAGGTTCTGAATTGTAATTGTACTCTGCCACTGACTTGGTGTATAATCTTGAAAAGGTAATTTTGCCTTTGTCTCAATTTTTCCATCTGTTAGGCAGGAGTACTGAATATCATACATGTAAATACTATTTTTTAGTTGATGTCTACAAACTGTTACAGAGGTTCTAAAAAAATCAGATTCTATAGCTTTCTGTGATTTGAATTACATGAGGAAGCTGACTATATCATGTTTATTTTAGGTTTGTTTACAGCAACTGTAAAATGAGCAGGTGAAATAATTCAGCCAGTAGCCTTATGGTTGATATCTAAGGGTTCACATCCTTCATTACAGACCTTCTGAATGCTGTGCTTCTTCAACAGCTGTTGGCAAAGGAGGGAGTACACAACACTACTGAAGTTACCCAGGCCAAAAATTTAGTCCTGGAATACTAAAAATACCAATCTATGTTAGTTCCTTAATTGTATGTGTTTTCTTTTTTATTTCTCCCCCTGGAGGCTGAAAGGGAGGGGAATGATAAGGAGAGTGCAGCCAGAACATAAAATGTTTTAGGGAGGAAAATAGTACCCAATAACACAGGAAGAAGAATCCATGTACTCAAGTCTGAAATAAGACTCAGGCTCAAATTACATTTTTAACTTTTGGCTTCCTACTGCTTACTTGTCTAGGTTACCCCCTCCAGAAAATCATTCTTCTTTAAATCCCCACAGTGGAGTGGGAATGTGACACCTGATGTCTCCTGTGACTGTCTCCATTGTACAATTATGAAAATCATTTGCAGTTGTGAGTGACTGAACTTGCTTAACTGCTCAGAACTGTTTTAGGGAATAATATTGTCAGATTCCTGATACGCAACAGGTAGAAATGTATTTAGGTCAACTGGAGGATAAAGCTCATGTATATTAATGACTGTCAGACTTTGTCTGTGGTTGTGTGCATGGGAATTACAGTATTGGTTGCTGAATTCAGGACAATAGCTGTTCAAAACTGACAGGTGAGGGAGAAGTCTTTAGGAATTACAATACCGAGAAGCCGTGTCTGCTCGGATGGAGGCAGTACACCCTGAAGTTAGCTGACTGACAGGTGACTGTTCCAGATTCTGACACCACCACAGTCAGTTTCCTGCACTCAGTTAAAATAACAGCTATTTTTGAGTAATGTAGACATCATATTGTTCTACCAATTATTCTATTATACCATCCACAAAAGAAAAAAAAAATGTACAAGAAAGAGTGATATTTCAGAGCAATTGCTAATGTATTTGCCAAATATTAACAATTGGAATTTTTTTATTTATAGAGATGAAATAGGTAAAATTAAAAACTAGAAATAAAATTATAAAATGAAAATGTAAATATTATTAAACAATGAAAAAGAAAGTGAGAAGCCAGTCTGTTTTCTCCTCTTTTTTTAACAGTGCAAACAGATAAAACATGCTACGGCAGGCACTGTTCAGAATATCTTCTGTGTAGCATCAAGGTCCCTCCATGGTTTCAGTGAGCTCCATGCACCTGACACTAAAGATGATTTATGTTTATCTGCAGCATCACCATATTGCAAAATTCTGAATCAGCAACAGCGGACACACCTTGACGCACTATCAAATTACTTTTGAAATGGAAGTTAAGGATAAAGTAATCCCATTCAGTTTAATAAAACTGATTCGACATTTAAATACTTGCATTCTTTCCATTGCAGCTCACCAGATTATTAATTTGGAGCTTGAAATCTGTTCCAGTTAGTCCCAGAGGCTGAGAAGGGGCTGGATTCTTTCCAACCAGTTAGGACAGTTTACCTCACCACACCTATGATGGGACATGCCCTCACCTGTCCAGTATCCTCTGCTTTCCAGGACTGAATTTATCTTCCTGTAGGAATAGGTGAGCTGCCCATGAAGCTGTTATTGAACTGTCACACTTTACAGCCCAGTTTATTTAGGTAAGTGGTGGTGTTTTACTTCTATACCTCTGGGAGATAAACTGCAGCAGTTTTGTTATTGCTCCGTATCCCACTCATAGTGGAGGCAGCAATCTTTATAAGAGCTTCATCACACTGAACACACTGAACCTGATCTAAAAATGATGAAAGTTGGTACAGAGAGAATATTGGCACCCAAGATGAAGCTGTCACTTGCTGGAGTTATCCACCTGCCTCCAGGAATGAAAAATTTGCCATTTCATCTAGAAGTTTGTGCATCAGTCTTTGAAATCTGTTGTCTGTAAATATGAATAAACTGTTGAAAAGAAGCAGTATTTTTCAAGAAGCCACCTGACCTTATGTGTCACATTGTGCAAAAAGGAATAAAAAGTGAAATTTGTAAAGTCATTTGATCTAAAAATACATTTATTCCATTTAGTGGTTGAAAGTAAGCAAAAGAACAGGCAATAATGCAAGGCTGCCTGTTGTACATGATTAAAGATGGGTAATGAACAGTGGCTAAAGGAGGAAAAGACTGAGAGCAAGCAGTCCCAGAGTCTACACAGTTTTAAAAGGGACTATTAGGAGGCTAATATTTATAAAAAGCAGAGACTGGAACATCTAAAGTAGGTCACTTTCATGGGATCCTCAGGCTTTAGATTAGAACTTTTGCATCTACATTGTGTGCCAAGTACTTTGGTTTTGATTGTTCATCTAGCTATTAAATAACTAGTTGGTTTTCTGTCATCTGGTCATTCATCCTGAGCACCAATTGTGTAGTCACAGAGAAAAGGAACTTATTTCATGTATTTAAATTAATGAAAATGCAGTAAATATGAAATGGTGACCTGGGACTTTATCTGTAGGCTTAAGAAATCTGTTCTAGCAAAGATAGAACATGAAACCTAAAACACAGCTGCAGTCAGAGACCACAGCTCTGAGGTTGGATAGATGAGTAGTAGAAAGATGAGCAGCTAGTCCCACAGCTATGATTATGTTACAAAATAACATCACTGTTAAAAAGGTGAGCC